TTCTCGGCCCAGTCTCTGAGGTGGGTGGGAGAGGGAGGTGGTGAACCGCAGGAAATGGCATTTCAATGTGTGTAACCTCTCGCCTCGCAACGTCCTCCTCTTGACAGCGAATGGCAGGTCCTTCTCATCTCTCTCAAGCTGCCTCGTATATCACTTACGGCTCCGGCCCACCTCTTCGTCCCACGAGACGGCGGAGCGAGCGAGCAAGAGGGAAGAGTGCAGGTGGTGTGGGTGAACTGCTCCTCAATCTAGCAGCTACTCAACAATCAACGAGACATCTATCACTGGCTCTGAAAGTAATTTTGAACCAACTGACACACATGTGCTTGCATCTTGGGCCTGCAATATAGATGGATTGTTGATGACTGGCGCTCAGCTGCCTTGAACACTTAAAAAAAAGAAAAGAAAAAGAAACTGGGCACATGGACTCCTTTTTGTTGTGAACGGCACAAAGGAATACTGCAGTGGATTCGCCCTCTTTAATCTTGACACTGTGACCACATGGTGGCACTAGCAGCCAAAACCAGTGAGACAAGAGGAGGTGCATGGAAATTAGGAGAGTAATATCTACCATAAACACTAACTTTAGGTAATATTAGGTGGATTCTTTTAAAAGAATGAACATAAACATGCTGTAAAACATGTTTCAGACTTTGCTGAGCTGTTGATTAGTGCTAAACATTTCTAGAAACTGAAGGAGGAAGGACTGATTCAGGTCACGTTTGAGCCTAAATGTTGCCGGCCAGAGAACAGCAGGTTAATTGAAAACATCTTCTCCTGGTGACCCGATGCACTGAGCAGGAAGACTTCTTGTCCAGTCCTACCGTCACTCTCCTGACTTGAATAATGTACCTTTGTATTCTTTCCCTCTGTGTTTAGATTTGTATTCAACTCATATTCATATCTCAATAGACAGATTCGCATTTTGTTGCATTGCAAGTAGAGAAGTATTTTATTGGGACTTTATCTGACAAACGCGTAGAAGCACTTAATTGTTTGTCATAGAGCGTTGGTGAACAAGCAGCATCACAAAGACGAAGGTGAGGGAGAAAGACGTGGAGTAATTTACAGCAGGATTGGGCTCTAAAACATTATCACATTTACGGCTACTTGGCTGTTTTGTTCAACAATTGAATTTAGGATTAAAACACACATTTGTGGGACTGTTTATTCCATTTTTCTTGTTGAATCTTTCCTTAAAATACTTCCATTATTTATTAAAATGTAGGATCTTGTCTATAAAGCAAGATAGATTTGTGCCATTTTGCAGAGGAATGTCACAAATCTGTTTTGCATACAGCTGTGCAAACATACCCCAACAGAAAGGCAGCTGTAATAGCAGAAAAAAAGTAATTTCACAGACTAAGTGTTCAATATAAAAACATGCATATAAATGTAAAATGTTATTCTCAAGGAATATCAATGATGTGGCAACGCATGAGATGATACAAGACGCAGCAGTTTTTAAATAAGTTCACTGGGCTTTGCAAAACCTTGAAGCCCTCATTACTTTCATTAGCCGTGATCCCGCTTTAGCAGCAGGAGCATTCTCAGAATCAATAATATGTTTGAAATGCCTCTTTTTGGGATTTCAGTAGGAAGATCATGTTACAAAAATATCATTGGAGCAATTGTAGTTTGGTTTCCATTGAGTCTCTCAAACCATATTACTATTTACTCTGTGTTTTAGTCAAAAGCTCTGCAAGACTGACAGATGGGTGGAATGACAAAAGATTATGAAGCCGTGGCTTTCAGGAATGCATGTAGTGAAGCCTCCGGAGGATTTGCTGCCATTTTCACGCATGGTTTGAGTCTGATTTTTCGTTCTTGACATTGGAAAACAAATTGCTTACACTCAGTATGTCATAATTATCACTGGGATACATGGTTTATACCGTGACGAATAAATGCATTAAAAAAATTACAGTGTCTCTGCACTGATGCTATTTGCCACAACGTGTTGCGTTATCTTAAAAGAAATTCAACCTATTTTCATGTAAATTATAGCCAATCTGAAAGATCAGAGCAGTTGCCAACAATTTTGAGCCCAACAAAATACCATCTGCTGAAAGTTGGTATTGAATTTGTCACAAGAGAAGTGAAAATAAAGCCAGGGAGATTTTAGACGTCTTTTCCAGTAAGGTTTGCCATTTTCTTGCTGACAAATCAATAGAATTGCATCAAAAATAAATGTCTTATGTTTAAACTTCTACTGATCAAATAGTTTCAGTCACTAAATGCTATATTTTCACTGTATAGGAGTGAAATGTCTTTTGAAGGTTCAGAGTTTAACTCTGAACTCAGCATAACTCAGCATGAGATAGAAAAAATAGTTCAAGCCTCCATACATGTTTTCAGAAACAATTTTTATTACCGTTCTTCATATCCGCCCACATTTTCTCTTTGCAGAGGGAAATAGTCCAAGAGTTCTAACCTTAATTTTCATTGGAAGCAAAACTAGCAAAAAAATCTAACTACTAAATGACAATTGGTAATTTTTCAAAGGATCGCTGCCTGAGCATGCAGCATGTATTTATTTCTCACCTCTTACCTGCTACATAAGAGCTCTAGAAAAGGAATCATAATGTTCATATTGCATATGTTTTTTCAGGGTTCAGAAATGTAAAAATAAAGCAATACTTTTAAAACACTTCTGGAAGTTATATACATAAAGTGTAAATTTTATCCGAACATGTAGTAACGCATTACCTTCTCTCAGTTTGCTTTTACATCATTGTGTGTTCAGAGAATCAAATCTCAACCCTCCCATCATTAATATGTTACCGTTTTATGCCCACTGTATTGTTTTTGTGTGTACCTCGTTTTGTTCCGGAGATTAGTCTAAAGCTGTTCCTCTTTATAAATATTAATTTGCCTCGTCTTCCTTTGCCAAAGCCTGAGGCGTCCGGCGCAGGTGTTATGTGAACAGCACGGCAGACGCCGAGCGAACCGCTGCATGTGCAGGAAGTCGTGGTAATGATTGCAGTCCCCAGTGCACTCTGGGTAATAATTATCCCTCGTTTATCATAATAGCAGGTAAACGCTCGTGCTCAGATGCAACGCTGCACCGAGTGAGGCACCAGCAATAGATCTGCACTTTGTTTTCTTTTGTCTTTTTCTGTCCATGTAAAGCAGCCATCTTGGGTTTATACACGTAAAATAAATACATAAGATCTCCTTAAAGTAGTTTTAAACTCTCCTTTTGCTGGTTGCATGAATATTATGTAATTATTACATAATTTCATTGCAGACGGGTGAGATTTCTGGTAATAGAGAATGACTTCTTGAGTTCTTTTGAGTCAGCTCATAGAGTAACATAAACACCAAACCCCAAGGCAAAGTTCTCAAGAAAGAAACTCTGAGCTGAAACAAACAGTTCAAATGACCTTTGAAAAGATCCCGATTTCTCAGTTCACCCGGGAAGAAGCAAAGCAAGGAGCAAAGCAGGGAAAAGCAGTCTATTTCAGCAGGGGATAAAAGTGGAATCCCTAACTGTGGTAATTGTGCTCCCTATTCAGCCATCCTCCTCCCAACGCTCTTTTTTTTTTTCAGCACTTTCTGCTCCATTTACGCGAGCAAGTTTGTCTATGTCGAAGAGGAGCAAATGCAGAAACGAGAAGATGCTTTTAAATCGACGTTTTCTAGTCATAAATTTATAGTACAGCTCTTCTGTTTCTCAAATGTTGCTTCGATATAGCAAATGAGTTGCACTGCAGTGTGAAGATTATTTGAACCACGAGGGCCTTTTATTGATGTCATCACAGCTGAAATCCTGGAAGAAAGTTTACAAGTGTATCTCACACGTTTACAGTTATTTACCAAAACCTTACGATCATTCATTCGTGTTGTAGAATCAAACAAACGTACAAAAACACATTGGAAAAACAAGAATCTAAAAAGTGTGGCATGCATCTTTGACACGCTATAACTTCATTCAGCCAGAAGTTAAAGACCAATCAATTGATAATCTGAAAAATGGAAAGAATGTCTTGATGCTTAATTCAAATTTTTTTTGTTGCTGCTGAAATCCAATATTTTTTGCCAAGTCGTTCGTACGTTGATACGACTAATTAAACCCGACTGCTATGAGACTTCTGTGGGAACACTTTGTGCATCCCCGAAGTGACCAGCATGTGCAGAAGAACGTTGACATCACGCATGCGGCACGCAGTTCATGGAAGTAAGAGTGGAGTGAGACGATTTTCTCACATAAAAACTTTGAAAACCATTTGAATTAGCACCACCAAAATTTGGTATGCAGTACCAAATTTTTGAGGGGTAATAGATCAGAAAAGGCCAGATTTAGGTAACTTTTGGCAAAAAAAAAGCAAATTTGTATTACAGTTGGTTACCTGCTGTGAGAAGGCAGCCAAAAACACACCTCAGATTTTTTAAAAGCAAAACATGTTGAAAACCACATTCTTATGACGCATTCACACAAAAAGTGTTAAAACGTGTCAAAAACCCATCCGATGCTTCAAGTTAGACACGTGTGCACTTTGAATGCAGATGCTTGACATTTTGCTAACGTTTCGCACAGAGTATATTGTGAAATACTCTGCATTTCACAATATTAAGTCTAAGTCTAGAATAGATTAGAATAGTCTTTTCTTAATCCCACAGTGGAGAAATTCACTTTTTACAACAGTACAATAATATAATATACCACACTGAAGATAAAAAATATCTAAAAATAAACCCACCTTAGCAATCTGAACTATTTTAATAACATACCCACAGATAAAAATCAAACTAAAGTTGCATAGAAGCTTGAAATCTGGGCGATTTTGAAATACAGAATAAACAGAATATCTTCTTATTCATGTTAATGACATTAACTCACATGCAGTGACATGATGAGAAATGGCAGTCTAACATGTTCATGAAGCTGCAGTTGTTCTACAGCGGTGAAATGAAGACGTTTGTCCTAATTATTAAGTTGGAGAACGGGGGCTGCACCTTGTTTGTTGGGGGTCCAAGTCTCTTCCTGGAATATCTCCGGGTTAGGATCAGTTGCTTGGCAACAGCGCTAATGGACGTTACCAGCGACTGGTAAACATCTCTCCCCAAATGTCAAAATGTCCCCGTTAATGAGAGGCAGCATGTGAGTAAGAGCTTTTTAGGACTTTTTTTTTTTTTTTTTTTTTTCACCTGGAGTTTTTCCACATCTGTCCGGTCGCCATTGCGTCGCCGTTATTGCCTCGCAGTTAACAAGCATGAAAAGCGGCACATTTCGGTTGAAAAGCGGCACACTTCGGTTGTCTAATAAAAAAAAAAAACTCAATCCACGTTCACGCGGTCGCGTCGAATCAGTCGCTTAAAGCTGAATAACTTTACAAGAGGCCCTTCTGGCTCAGCCGCTGCTGTGTGAAGGCATGAGGCAAATGCTTATTTGTGTTAAACGCGGTGCTACGACGGGGCATTTCTTGGCTCACAAATTTGATATGTAAAATGGCTCCACGTGATGCAACCAATTACATTTGCCGGTTAGCAGGCGCGCGCGCGTGTGCGTCTGAGTGGAATACGAGGCAGGGATGAAATCCAGGCGCCTCTCACTTGGGCCCTTATTAGCTATGCAAGGCTTTGAACGGGTCTTTAACCTCAGCATTTAATCATATAATTAACAATGATGGGGAGAAAAACGGCTTACACCGCCGTCCTACTCTAAACATTGTCCTTCAAAACATTGTCAAGACCTCATGTTTTCACAGATAGACATTTTTCCTGACCTTTAAGACATGGAGAGGCTTTTAGCTTTTCGGTGCCGATCTGAATTAATGCATTGTTGGGTATTCGGCTCTTGTGCGTTAACAGGTTTGGCATGCTGTGGCGATGTGTAGATCTGAGCAGTAGGACTCGGCGTTGCCTGTTGGGATAAGTATTTAGATTTTATTCACTGTCACATTTGTCCCTCCTCACTCTCCCCTCTGCTGGCTGATTACCTGCTGCTGGCATTTAAGGAGCGTTTGGAGGTTGCAGCCTCTCCCGCTCTGACGGGCCACACATCAAGCTGGATGAGAAGCTGTTTACAACAGCCTCATTTTAATTGCTCATCAAATTATTGGCCAACTGACAAGACATGGGGAAATTGCAATGGACATATGGATTCAGACAGTGACCATCAAACGCTGCCCCGACACTCATTTTAGCGGTTTTAACCGTTCAACTACAATTATTATCAATCAGTTTTTCGGGTTATTTTTGAGGTTGTATAATGTATTAAAATGTCAATCAACAGATTCCAGTTTTTCATCTTTCTTTTTTCCCTTTTTTACCAGAAGTTTGAAGGACGGTTTCATGTAAATATGAAACCAGCTGGTCAGAATTGATAACAAGATGATTCATTGAAGGCCTTGCAGGTTTGGCAGCATCATGCTGTTTTCTTTGTTTCAAAGTTAATAGAAATTGGGCAATTTTATTGTAAATTTTGCCAACACTGTATTCTCTGATTGCTCTCTGTGGGACGTTTGTTTTATAAAACGCTTTGAGTGAATGAATGAATAAATTAAGATTTAAGGAAAAGAGAAAAATGCATTTACTCATCAAAGTTACCTACCATTCCAAGTCTCTTAAATAAACAAGCTGTACAGAACATAAAGTATACCAATGCCTGCTTCTCCTCCCCCACCTGTTGCTGCGCTCTACCTTCCCGTGAACTGCCTCTTATGACTTTCCTTCACTAAGTTCTATTGGGATGTTTTTGGTTGTAAAACAACATGGATGGCCATGGTGGAAACTTCTCCCTCGCTCCCTCACAATGTGAAACCTCGGAGCCGTTTGCCTTCAAGCAGTCAACTTGAGCGTTCAACCGAAAGCCTCATGTTGTGTTTACCCTTCAGCGGAGGCGGGCCGATTACGGCGTACTTAGAATTTATTGGCTAATCATCTCTGAAAGCCTCGGCATCCGTCGTTTGCGCTAACATTTTCTATGATAATGACGCTTCCCCTCTGTTCTCCAGACTTTATATTCACCCATCAACTGAACTTATTTAGGCTGTCTCCTCGGGAGCGGGAGGGAACTCAGGTTTTAATTTGCCGGGAAGGGGGATGATTTGAGACGACCTTGGATGGGGAAAATGCAGTGTCCCGATAAGGACCCCGAAACTGAGAGTTGCTGGTTGTTACAAATGCCAGAACACAAAGCAACAGATCTGTCATCCATCAGAAGCATAAGCTATAAAGAAACTTGTCAGGTTGTACATTCAATCTGTACTCCTGCAACTGCTGCACTATATGTAATGCAAATATTTTATTTTTCTTTTAAGGTGAACGTGCAACTCTCATCAGTTTCCGATCGAGAAGTGAGCGGAGCTCATCTGTGACAAAGCTTAAGCTTTTTTGGAAAGACGATTTCTTTGGGGGAAAGCAACAAGAAAATCTCTGGAATCAACTCCCGAGAAAGTCTAAAATTGAGCGCCAGCACACCGTTTCCAAAAGTAAGACGTTTCTCCTTTCTTCTTCTTTTTTTTTTTGCTTTTAGACTTTAGCCTTGACACCAATTATCATTCAAGTACGCCTCTATGCCTGGAGATTGCTTTCAATCAGACTTTTGTGTAAAACTTTGATTGAAAGAAAAATGGGATGGCAGACATGTAATCTCTTCAGTTGGGGTCTCTTCCCATAATGCATCATGAATCATACCTGGTGAGGCAGCAGATTATCCAAATCTGAATCATCCAGTTTGAATCACCGCAGCCTATAGAGAATACATCATAATCAAAAAGCAAATGATTTTTTTGGGAGGGCGACTTTCGAGATGGTTTTGTAATACATCATGTTGACTCCTGATGTCTGTAATCAGTTGAGCGATAAAAGCCAGTTTGGCTAGGACAGGATGTACAGAGAGACGTTTCTGTGAAATGGAAGAAAAATCTGTGTGGTCGCTTTCTGTAGGATTTTTCTTTAACTGAGTTGAACTCAGTACTTTTTATTATAATATGTATATTTGTCAAAATAAAAAAGGGCAGAAGTTCTCAGAAGGAAAGCGGTTGTTTTCTTAACTGATCCCACACATGGATCGTGAACTGAACATCAATAATGAAAAGGCTTGACATCAGACAAAACTCATAAACTTTATGTAATAAATATAAATTCAAAACAATTGTCAAGTATGGAGGTGGAGCTGACATGATATGGGCTTATTTTAAACCTCAGAACCTCAGATCTCAAAAATGAAACATGTAAAGTTATGAAAAACTCCTTAAGTCTTGAGACTGTAATGCTGTACTGAAAGTTTTAGTTTATTACTTTTTAGTAATAAAGAAAAACAGTTTAGCAATTTTTCAAATAGAAGTAGCAGTTTTGAATCGAGCAAGAAAGGAAAACGTCACGATTATTCTTATTTGTGAATCAAAGTATGCATTATGTGAGTTTCAATGTACATACTTTTTAGAAAAAACGTACCATAAGAATTGTAAATTGAACTGAGCTGATCTGACCATTCCTTGTTCGAATCTCCATCCAAAAAATATTAACAAAAGGACAACCTGAAGACACATCGTCAGTGACATTAAAGCACCATAACCACCATGTTAAATACTACAATGTATGTACATCTATGTATTTAAACAGAAGTAACTATTACTGAATTAAAATGACTACTCTAGTCCACAATCTTCAATTTGGTTGTCCCTACTGCTTGTGCAATTTTTCTAACACAGTTTTTCTTTCCACTTAACTTTCCATTGATAGTGACCTTCTGATTCTTGTGTGTTTTACAACTGTGAAGTTTTCTGAGAAAATGATTTTTGGACTTCCATTAGCTATAATTAAAAATAAAATGGAAATTTATGTGTGCAATTACTCAATATTGAATTACTGAATATTACAAATATTGAGATTCACCTGCAGATCTGCTCAGCTTAGATTTTCTATTCGCCAAAAAGTATTTTTGAAGCAGATATGCTTGTTTGCTTTACCACAAAAGCCAAAAATGTGAAAGAAATCGACACTTTCAGCAGACTTGTCTTTATAGCATATAGTGCTTTAAAAGCTGGATCCCCAAGCAGAACAATCGCAGTGAATTTGGCCACCGGCTGGAGCAGACGAGTGGCTTTGTGTTCCCAACAAACAAAACGAGACGCATCTCCGTTTGAAACCCGGTTAACGGCGCCGTCAGACAACAAACAGAATATCAAATCTGACCTCTGAGGTTTGGATTTGTTGACACCTGGTTTTTCATTCTGGGAATCTTTAAGGTAATTGCTTTCGAGACGGTCCTTGATCCATTAACGCCACGCGCCGCTTCCCAAAGCTGGAAACATGATATGTATTTGACACATGTCCCCTTTTCATCTTGTTTTATGTCAGAGCTGCTTTTGTGATGTTGTTTATTTGGGGTAAATGTTACTTTTCAGTTGCAACCCTCAGGGAAGGCTGACTGCTTTGAAAGTCCACATTATGATTTTTCTCTCCAGGGTTCACATGCTTCATCTGCACTTATGAGCCAATCCCTTTTTTTAAAATATGTGTTTTACTTGGATAAGCTGGTAAAATAACGTTATAACGATATACATTTGTTGCCTCATATTGCGGCATACTCAATTTCTTTGTAATTACATCAAAGAAGCACAGAGATACAATATAAACACTGGGAGTCCAATTTAATATTCACTGAAAAATGACTTCCACTAAAGGGGAAAATATGCAACGCAGACTTTTTTGCTTCAGGAGATTTATGTAGAGCATAACTACTTCAAAACTTTTGTTTCCTTTTTTTGTATTTTTTGGGGGGATTTACCCTTTTGCACATCTTGTCATTTGCAGTTACAAATTTCTCTGTTTTGTGGTGGACAGTTTCATTACATTCTTATGAATTTATTAATCTGATACTCGTTCCATGTTTTCATTTGAATTCTACCACAGTTGAATGTTTCTCATATGATTTGCAACTGTGTCAGTTTCCTTTTTGACGTGATTAACTCAACAGTTCATGAAATACGGAAGCATTCAGGATACTGTTTTACTTTCTTAAATACGTAAACATTCAAGGTACTTTTGCAAAAGGGGTTGAACATTTGGTTTGGCTCACTTTCACACTGGGCCAAACCACTTGAAGAATATCCTGCACACGTATCTTAAATCCACCATTTAGATTAAGTTAAAATCTTTATTTTTCAAATTAGTTCAGTTGCCTCTCAGTCAACTCCAAATCTAGATTTGGGGGGCAAAAAACAAAAAACAAAAACGTGCTCTTGTCCTGTAGTATTTTTTTTTTTAAACTGTACTTCCACAAAGGATGTACATTTGGACACAGAACCTCCTGCTCTCTTTAACACAGGATTGATCCTTTCTGAGCACAAGGACAATAGCCTCCTCGGGCTGTGACTCATTCTTTCCAGCTGACTCTAATCACCAGCTAATTAATAGTTGATGTGCCAGCTTCCCAAAAACACAACTGCTATTAACCTGCGTGTGCTATTGATTTAGTCTTGCTTTAGGTGCTGAAGTGGACTCCTGTGGGCCAAACGCAAGCCCTAATATTGCGCTAAGGTGAAATCATAAAATCTTTACAAACATCCTGAATGGTTTTAGAGGAGACTGGGGGGCCTGGCTACGCAAAGTCATTTTGGTGATTTGGTGCTTTTGTTTTCTTATTAGAGCACATCTCTGCGGCCACTGTTTATGTCAACTCCCTTGTAAAATAGCAAAAGATGGAACGAACGTAAAATTTGTCCATAAAAATATACACAGTGGTCTTCAGTTTTATTGGCCCTCCTGGTAAAGTTGGAGAAAAGACTTGTGAAAATGAATTCACATGTGCTACAGGAGCACAATCTGAAAAACCGAAGCCTCCAATAAACTGGAGTATATTAAAAAAAGTAATGGTAGTTACAACCTTTTTAGAGCCAAAATTATAGAACAGTTCCATAAATGTAAGAAAATGCTCTTAAAAAGTATACATGAATTCTAGGTTGAGTCTTTTAGGATGACATAAAGTCCCTTTTTGGCACTCTTTAAATTGGACCAAACAGCAAAACATACATTTCAAGTCCGATTTGTTGCTCAGAAATGAATTAATAGAGAGACACCTATTAAAACATTCTCCATGTGCACAGTCAGAGGTGTATGTAGATTTCTTAATTTGAATAAAGTTATTGATACTTAATGAAAAACACCTCATATTAATTATTTTAGTATTTGACTAAGTGGAATTAGAAGACAAAGATTCACCTTTTAAGTTAACCAGCACACACTTCAGGCCTTACAAGCCCCTACTGGTCACTGTTAAGCACAGTGGAGGAGTAATGATGCTGAGGCCTGCTATCTGTTCCAACACATTCTCTTTCCTCAAATGCTAAATAGATATTTATCTTTTGACCAATACAGTAAGGCTTCTGACAAAAACTAATTGATTTTGCTTCAATGGAACCGTATCACTTCTGAACCATTAATTTTATTTATGTACATCTTTGAATCAAGAACTCAAAGAAAACCATGTAATTGTAATTCATCTGGACTGGCTTTGTCTAATTAGCTTTCTAGTTGCTAATCTGGTTTTGCTTAAACAGCTAAATGTTTTTCTTCGCACCATATTCATATCGCACTTAATAACAGACAGTCGTTAAATATGATGGGGATTGGAGTCCCTGGGACAGAACTGCTGCTTTGCTTGAACAATCATAACATCAGTTAAATAAGCTCTGCAGCTATTTGACAACCTAATCTACAGCTTTCATCAGGAGGCTCTTTTTTCTTTCTTTCCTCCACCCTCATTGCAACTTTTTCCTCCCTCCCCTCGCCCTCCCGCCGCCTTCATCTGCTCGGTTACATTAATAAATGAGATTTCAGAAGACGACGCATCTGCAGTTAAAGTACAAAAAGAAGAATCGCACTAAAACCATCTCCCCGACGACGCATGTTTCACAACTCGCAGAGAGGCGGCTGAATTAAGGCGTGATGCAAACATGGCAAATTGAATCAATTTGGCTGCTCTAAATAGATGCGATGCGCTGGCTCTGAATGCTTGAATGAATAAGAAAGAATTTCAGAGTTTAATGATGTTCTTTTTTTTTTTTTTTGCCAGTCCATTGCTTTTTTCCTTTTCTGAATAAAAAGTTTTGGGGAGATTAATCCGCACGACAACACAGATGTTTGAAAGTAAAGAAGCACGAACATCATAACATCCAGGCATGTCTGCGCGGGCCTTGGTAAATGTTAATATACTTGTTCACATCACGTAATGTTGTGAGCTTAAACTTCTATGTATTTTATTATATTATCATATGTGACTGACCAGAAAATGGCAAACTTTACATCTGAAAGACCCATCTTTGTCTTCATCTAAACAGAATTCATCTGGAGCCACAAAAGAAAAAAGGTATATGAATTTGAGTATCACATTTATTGACAGTTTTAAAGAACTATCATTGTATGGATGTTTTTAGATTTTAAAATAAAAGAAAACATTAGTTTAAAGGAGCCATTTTCTGTAGTATTAAAAATCTCTGGAAAACAATTTTGCAACAAAATATTCTTGCTTGATTGGAGTCATTTTTCTAAAGAAAATGCTATGAAAATATTGCAGGAACACATAATACTGACTTTAAGTCTGCCTGGTGTGTGCATATGAAGAAATATATTTTTGCTGCATAATTTCCTCTCGTCCTCTGCAGACTGGACTACTGGATCACTTGAAGATGATTTTATGCTATTATTTTGTTTAGGTTGAGTTCAGTTTTAGCTTTGATTGCATTTAGCATCAGACCAAACACGTCCTTCATTTGTATGCTGCGTCCACCTGCATCACTTGTGCCAAACTTTAAACATGACTCCTTTAACTTTCATTAACAGCTGGTTTTGATTGCAACTGTTAAACAAAAGCCAAATTATTTAGAGTGGAAACTTAATACTTGTCAACACATTTTCTCAACACGGACGTCTAATTCTTTTCCTGACTAATGCCGGGCCTGTCAGGTCAGGTGAACACCCATGTTGGTAGGTTAGTAGCAGCTGTGGAAGAATGATCCGTCATCCAATCAACTCGAGCAGCTCCCTCTGCCATGTTTGACAGTGGGAATGTTGTGCAATGTCAGCATACACCACCAACGTTGCATAAAAAACAGGCCTAGAAATGTCACACCTATGTCCCACATTGCACTGATTGATCTCTAAAATCCCCCAAAACACACAGAAGGTTGTTTAAAAAGTCGAAGGTGTATTAATACTCTTGCAAGGCAAGACCACAGCGGTAAGAAAATCTGTAAGCCAAACACTAGGGGACGTTTTTCACTAACAAGCCTGTCATCTCTGTTGACGTATTGATCAGGAGTCGCCTTCCTATTGTGCGGACGCTCTGCAGCACTTAAAGATGAACACAAAGCTTCGAGCGGTGCGGACACATTGACAGGCCCTGATTAAATCAGCAAAGGTGGCAGCATTGCTCATGACAATGATAAGACAGAGGGCACTTATCAAAGGAAAAAAAAAAAAAAAAAAGCCCAGTGTTGCTTACTTCCCCTCCAAGTAGACACTCATAGAAGCTGATGGAAGGAATTAATTTGAGCTCAGAAACAAAACATTTGTCATGAAGCTGAGCGGTCACCTAATGCAGAGTCCTGCATGTGAATAATTGTTTCCAAGCGTTATGTTTTGCCTGTCAGTCAGAGGTGCTCGCCGTTGGCTGTAATACATCTGAATTAGGCACCCGGCGGCACTCTGTCACGCACGCCCCGTCGTAAGCCGTTAAATACATAAATCGGGTTTAAATGAACACACACGCCAACTTGTCTTGCCTGGTTTGCAGGGTAATTCATCTTCCAACGCCACGATTCTGTTATGCAGTCAAATTGACAAGTAATCCATCGCTCGTGTCCTTGTTGTCGACGTTAAGGTCATTTCGGATTGTTGCGTTGAGTGAAAAGAATTTGCAACACTTCACAGCAGGAGACAAAACGCAGTACAAGCTATTCATATACAGTATGAGTGATATGGCAATCTAAATGTGCTCTTTTATATGGTCTTAGGTTCAGTTGGTGCACATGGGTTGATGCATGTGCACCAGCAAAGATTCGCCTTAATTCACAGTCAGTTTAGAAATCCTGCCGGTATGGCAACAAAACAGCAGAATCATGCATAAACCTGTCAGACGACAACATGTTTTTTTTCCGCAAAGATTTGTACCTATATTGAAGGTTAAAAGAAAAAAGAAATTTTGTGAAATGTTTGCATTTATTAAAGCGACTTTGTAGCAATGACAGCCATGAATATCCATGAGTGTGTCTCCGCAATCTTGGCACATCTGTTTGGCGGTTTATTTTCTCTCATTTTTCTCTGTAGATCATTTCAGTCTCAGTCAGTATGGACTGGCAGCATTCGAACACAAACACATTTTGCAAACGTTCAGTTGGATGTACGTCTGGGCTCTGGATTGGACATTTAAGGAGACTCGCAGTCGGCTCCCAAGTTGCAGTCATCTCATTCATCTCCGTTCATAAAGACCCAGTGTATTTGTTTCTATCTCTGTGAGGAAAAACCTCGGCCTTTGTGACCTCTGTCTCCATTGATACGTGTCTTTCTAACTGGTCAATGTCTGGTTCGGTTCTAGCCAAGTCCAGTGTGTTGCCTCTCCAGTGTTGTAGCTTAGCTGGCCTACCCTGTCAGCGTACTTGTTCGTAGCAGGTTGCTCCATCCAGTCGACGCTAAATAAGCTCTTCTGCCACAATTGATAAAGAGGTTTGGACCGATTTATTGGCACAGATTTTCTTAATTTTGGGAGATCAGTGGTCAACCGATACTTGTATGCATTGCCAATGTTATCCACCGATCTTATTTACCTCGGCAAACATCTAAAAATTAACCACCATCTTCGTCTGACTTCCAGGTCATGACTGGACATTTGACCACTTTGTTATCCGAGAATGGAAACCAGTACTGAGCAGATTCAGTGCCTTCATATAATCATAACATTTGTAAAAATTATCAGTTAATTTACATTTGTTTTTGTTTTTGTTTTTGGAAAGGCAACATTTTTTTAAAATGCTAAGTGGGAAAACTGTAAATGAGCCCTTTTTGGTGACACTGTAGGTGGTATATTGTTCACTTTGGATGCCGTGCTTAGAATTTGAATGGATCCTGATTCATTATAGTGAGTCATGGATCATGACTCATTATATTTTACTATATTTTTAAATAATTTAGGGAGAATGAGACCTTATATTTAACTAATCTTGCTATAAGGCATACTTCAAAGAAATCTTCAGAGAGATAAGAATCCTTTTTGTCTTAATCAATACACACCAGACACTAAGTAATTATTAAAAATGGATTAAAAGCTGTAATAACTAAAAAGGAAGAGGAAAGTATTACTGGTTAGTATAATAGTCACTAAATGTTCTTTAGTCTCCATATACAGATTTAATGGGAACAATAGAAAAGAGTCAAGCGGTGCAAATCTCTTGTTTCGGCACAAAGGCAACTTGCACAGTGTCATAATAAGACTTGTGTGTTGCATTTCTTTGGCCGTCACTCTTTATTAAAGGAGTGACTTTAAAACTCAGCAGCTAAGGCAGGCAGGGAAGGCCTTCCTTTCGTCAGACTTCCATCTGTAGCCACCATAAATGCTCTTTTTTTATAGAATATTTCAGTTCATGAAAATCACATCTGGCCTGGTCGTTTTTAAAGTCTGTAATATTCTGCCATAACCTTCTCCTCTGTGCTTTCTGGAGAGCGTTGAACAGAATCCACTGAATGTGCGAACAGTGATTTTCCTATTTAACAAAATAATTTCAGTCATTAAATACTGATCTCATACAACTTATTGTTATTCTTCTACGTTATTTCTGGATGTTGTTTAAGCATTAACACAGTCTCTGACCCAGATAGAATTAATTATTTTTTAATTAACATGTTTTTACTTATTCTTGGCTCAAAGAAAACTAAATAATTGAGTAACACTTATTAAAAATCATCTAGTTTCTAGTCTCGTCTTTCTTTCAAGCCTTTCCAAACTTTTAAGCAATTGCTCATCTGTCTAATTCACTTGCTTAACTGAGTTCATTTTAGCCCAGTGCTAAAATCAACTAACAGAAATGAGCTTGACCAACGAGTACAGATTTTGTAAAACAGTATAGTATCACGACGGAAAAGTAAACATTACTTACACAGTTTTTATTCTTTCCAGTCATGTTATTATTTTAAAAAAGTGATGATTGTTTCCATTCTGGGAGCTTATTATCTATCCAAATCTTCAAATATTTGGATTGTCACACAGGATAATTGACCATTTATCAGCAGCCATCATGATTGATTTCACATTTCCACGAGAAACATTATGTTTTCTGACTTCTTCTGTTTTGCGTTTCATATTAATTCTACCTATATAATATCTGTCTGTCTGTAGCTCTTTCAGTAAATGTTTGTCAAAATGACAAACATTTTTGAAAATAACATCGAAGCAGAAATCAAACACACAGCTCTTAAACGTTTTCATTGGCTATAAGCAGAAAAATCTAATGATTAACCTTTGGACAAACAGTTTCCATCTTGAATAATTTCACTGTTTGAAAGCTAATTTTGGACAAATGCTAATACCAACCCAGCAAAGCTTATTATTGTTTTATTTTTATTTATTTATTTATTTTATTTTTTTTACCACCGATGTAAGTAAGCTGTTACTGCTTTTTATTATTTCTCATTTTCTTTTAAAAACACCATTGTATTGTATTGTATTTATATATTAATTTTTCATTTTCGGGTATCGGTAAAGCAGTCACCCACCCCTAAAACACCAACAGATGATTAGAAAACAGAAGGATTTTAATGCCGAGATAAATCTAACAACAGAACTGAAACAATGTATGTGTATTAACTGTTTACGTGTCATAAACTTTATGTTTATTTACTCTCAGTTATGGGAATATGTGGTTTTTAAAATTTTTTAAAGCCATTTAGCTTAAATTAAAAATAAAATACGAACCGAGTGTCAAAACGGTCAGTGAAAACTTTAATTCTGCATTGCTGACAATATCTACAAATGAAACAATTCTGACCCTGTATTTGGGGAAATGGTTGCAAAGCCATTGTCCTCCACAGGCACTCGCATTATTTATTCAGCACATAGAAAAGGACACATATTGTCATGTTGTTTTTTCCCTACAGGAAAACTGCTGGCCTGGTCAAGAGCAAAACCTAGGCAGCTGTGGTGCAAATGAGTTCCTCCTGAAGCCAGTCTCAGGTCTCACAGCCTCACTGAATGCTCAGTTAGCTGAAATATATTCACCCTTTTTCTCTTTAGTGAATGCATAATCATCTAATCCTGCAAATCATAACTCCCCAATGCAGTAGCAAAGTATTTAAAACACCAAATCATAGTTTGTTGTTAGAATAAGGTAGAGTCTTGGCCCAAACCTTTTTATTATCTTTCAGAAATATTCAGATTTACTGACAGGCAGATTACTAAAAGGTTGCTTTGTTTACCTTTTCCCAGTAATAGTTTTCTTTGGATATTGTCAGGCATTCACAAAAGTTTATCATCCATCCCTGCAAAAGCCAGCATCTGCTCTTTCATTATCATCCATTCGACTTTGCCATTTCTCCTTGTCCATTCGACCACATTCTTTCCCTTAACCCACGGCACATAATATCTATCATCCACCATGCCAATGAGCCATGCAGTAAAACTGCCGGTCCTCATATTTATTGAAGCTAATCTCAAAGCCGTCAAGGTGGCCAATATAAAGGGGAATGATGCCTTTTCTTCTGAGACCGTGAAGGAGGCACCGGAGAACGAGTGGGAGGGCAGACCTCACGATGTCGCTTGGAGAACTCCTCACCTTTGCAGCTGAAGCGTAGTCGGTGGGCGGTTACCGTGGACGAGACGCAATAAATAAGGGTTAGATACCAGATATCAAGGTTAATCTGTTTATGCCCTTTGGTTTTTGTAAAGAGATGGCTTACTCGTCCTGTCAGATCGGCCCTTAAAATGCCTCGAGCCATTTAAATCGCTGTTTACTGTTGCACTACCCGGCTCAACATGTGTGGCTGTGGGCTGTTTGTCAGGCTTGCCGACTGACAGCTGATGTCTACAGTCAGTCGGGGAAAACCCATGGGAGGAGAACAGACGTCTCATAAAATGTGATGCACCAGTTAGCCACAGAGTCCTTCTCATGTCTTGCTGTGCTTCCTCCGATGCCCCACTGAGCCGCTACAAATGCATCGTGAAGATTGCCCGGCCTTCCTTTGGGGGGAAGAAAAGATCAGTCAGTCTATTTACCTTTCTGTGAACAACATTTGACCACTTACAAGTTAGTTTTTGCTTTTATACCTCCTTTTAGATATTCTAAATGTTTATACTCTACTCCGGATAAATACTCTAATTTCCGGATTATAAGCTTCTACTTTTTTCACACCCTTTGTACACCAAGATGTGACTAATTTACAGCTTTTCGCCTGGACAGAGAGCAAATTGGCCTCAAGACAAAAGTGACGATGAAAAGCATGAGGAAGTGTGTTAGGCTGTTCAATTCTGACTGAAAAATGAAGAAAGCTATCAGTGACTTTGTAGGCTACTGTAATTTTGCAAGCACTGTTGGGAAATTTCATTTTTGTATGTTAGCGGTACACATTTTAGTAAAAGTACAAAAAAAAAAGAAAAAAAATATGTAGAGACCTGCGTTTGCAGCTCATATGTACATGTTATATTTCAAAGTTATTGAGTGCAGTTTATATTCGTCTATCATTCATGGAACAGCAGTAATGTTGAAATGATTATTTCATTTATTGAAAGAGGAAAGCTGTCCAAACCAATCAAAGAGTGACAAGATGAAAGACCTGAAAGAGTAACGCATCATACGCTGATCCAAAGAAACTGAAGATCAAATCCCAAAGTAATTGGGATTAATGCACTAAGACTCAAGAACTACAGAGAACCACAGTGAGCACCATAATCAACAATTGAAGAAAGCATTGGAGAACAACCTTTAGCTGACTGGCATACCAAAATTACTCCAAGAGCACATCAATAATTCATCCAAGAGGTCACAAAAAGTCCAAAAACCTGTCTAAAATATACATTTTAAACATAACTGAACCAGCAGCAGGTTAAAGTTGGCTTAATTGAAGTCATTGTTAATGAGTCAATAAAAAGAGATTAAGAAAAATCACATCTACAAGAAGGTTCCACTGCAAAAAACAATCCTGAATGGAAAATAGGTCTTTGAGTTTTTTTCCAAAGAACATCTTGACCATTCCTAAAACGCATAGAAAATACGATCTGGACTAGCAAGAAAAAGAAGAAAGGTTAAATTTCCAAAAGGTGTATAAGGACACATTAAACCTTTTTACAACTGTTTTATATCCACAGTCAAACCTGATTCTGGCAGTGAGAAGGTCGAGGGTTTTTTCTGCTTCAGGACAACTTCCAGAAATTGATGGAAGTACGATTCCCACTCTAAAATAAAGGTTTTGCAATGACCTGGTCAAAGTTTTCCAAAAATGACCAAAATAGCTGAAGTAAAGCAATTGCATAAATTAAAAGAAGAGTGGTGCAAAATTGTAAAAACACTCACCGTCAGATAGTACTTTTGGCACCAACAGTGGAACAGTGACTTACTTGTTTTGTGCAATTACTTTTTCACACAGTTTGCTTTGAATAGCCTCCCCTCCCCTTTAATAAATTAAATCCTCCTTTTATAAACTTTTTTTTAAAATTTTTACTTCCGTGCTGATATTTGAGTGATGATGCGAAACATCTAAAGCCGACCCAAAAATAGCGTGCAGTTTTTCATGGCACATTGATGATGCTACTTTGTTTTAATGCTGTGGAGCAAATAATGAGCACTCAGCACATCAGTGCATCCCTCTATGCGCGTTAATGATATGCATTGGTTAACATTTCGCAGATTAATCTCCAAGGACCTGAGTGGGTGTTTTTTTAAAGAGTTGTAGAAACTGGCAGGGCCCGTACTTCTTGTTATCTCATTTGAACGTGGAGGCAGCCTAACGGAACCAAGTCACTGCTGAGAAGCGCTGATTGAACTCTTGGAGGTGATCTAAGACTCCAAGAGTCTTAGCCGTCCACGCCACTTGGGTGTCATTTCGGTTTCAGGGTGTCAGCCGCAGCTGTGTGTTTAGCTTCCACCAACATCTATATTTACCTCTCTAATAAAAGTCATTGTCATGTGGCTCGGTGTAAATTAGAGGTCTGCTTTTGTCATGGATGGCGGAAGGAAAAAAATAAAGCATCTCTCACGAGGATGGAGAGCTCCGGTGACTTTTATTAGCGCTGAAGAAGACAGACCTCATCACAGACGGGTGTGTAAATCTAGCTGAACACAAAGCTGTAATGTAACTTTTTTTTTCCCATTCATTCTTTTCTACAAGGCCAGAATAAATATTTTGAGAAAAAAATTATGATTCATGCCAAATGCTGACACATTTCTGTCTCTGAGCTGTGAAGTCCAAGTGAAATTTAAAATGTTTAAAAGTTTAAAATGGTATTATACCACTTAATGTGTCTGTATGTACATTTGGAGCTCTCTCCATTATTTTCTTACCAATTTTCTTTGGCAAGTTCAGATGAGAGAACATAAAGTAGGTAATATAAAAGAAAATGTATTTTGACACTAATATTAAATAAAGATGTCGATATTTAGATAATTAGAGATTAAGATAAATCCGCATGAAAGAATAGAGTGACTCAAATGAGTGAAAGAGCTTATTCACACAGATTGAAGTTGATTAGTCAGAGTTCAAATGCTGTAATTGTCATGCTAAATAGCTCAAACAGTGTTTGGCAAAATCCCAAAATTTAACAAGGTATTATCAGCATAAGGTGGAGCATGTATTACGCTCATTTGAGGTTTTGAATGCATCTTAGGAAAGATGTTTTTATGTGTAGAAGAAAGTTATGAAACGAATGTCTATAATTCAGTGAGACGCTCTGGGAAATGCATTGAACACTTGTGTCGACTGCAAGTGTTGGTGCTGGAACAGATTTCTTCTGGTCCACAATCTTCAGTCTTTCAGACCCCTGAAACCAATTTTAAGGTCAGACAAACATAACCTGGGTAGATACAGAAAGTATTGTACCATGTGTGCACACACGACACATGCTTTGAATTTCACATGAGAAATTGCTTCACACTTGACTCAATTGAGTGGGAGGAAATGTCAGCAAAAAAAAAAAATCAACTTTATTCATACTTTAACTGGGATGTTGAACATTTCACACATGAATTGATCTCTATCGCTACGCTGCACGTTAGGTTGATGTGGACATTAGTTGAAGTCTAGAGGAAGTGGCAACCCCACACCAGATTGTAAATCTGGAATGAAAAACAGAATGATGAGCCGGAGATCAGAGTGCTGAAACAGAGAGCTATGAGTGGAGTCACCATTGCATTCATGCAGCTTCTTAACTAGAAGACAGTAGAGAACGCTGGCCGCTGCCAAAAACTCTGAGGGTGAAGTAAAGACGAGCCCTTGCCATCTGGAGAGCTTGAGGCGATGTAGAAAACAACTTGATGGCTCTTGGCCTCACATCCTAAAATTCTTTCTTTTTTCTTCTTCATATTTTGCTCTTTCTTTGCCTTTTAACCCTCATAACAAACCCATCTGAACCTCCTCCATTTCTCTCAGGCTATGATCTTACCCAAATGCAGTGTTTCACATCCCTCCAACACACACATCCTCTTTTTTTGCTTTTTTTTGCTTTCGCTCTGAAGGATTTATCACTCCTAATTATCTTAACTATCCTTCTTCATACCCAGCTTGTATCTAGCATATTTAATCTAGGATTCAGCAAGGCTATTAGTTACACTCAACATGCAAAGACTAATTGATTTAAGGAAGCAGGATTTACTTGTTGGTGCTGATGGGTTTAAATGCTAATACAAGAGGAAAGAGACTAGAGGAGGATGGATATCAGAGGAATGTGGCGCTTTGCAAAAGTATTCATATTCCTCAGCCTTTCACTAGACATTCATTATGTACTATGATGTATTTTAATGGAAATGTATGTGTTTGACTAATTTAAAGTATGTCCTAATTGTAAACCGATTTTTTCATTTATTTATTTATTTTTTTACAAATGTATCAGTTGCATATGTTCATATTTTAATTTGTAAAAACGTTGAGAATCCATGCATCCATTTCTTTTCACTTCACAATGAAGCAGTAATTTGTGTTGGTTGCATTTGCCTAGTGATAGCCCTAATGAAATACATTAAAATGTCT